CACCCCGCCACGCCACGCCACGTCCCGCGGGGCACATCTGCGTTCCGTCAAGAATCAATCGCATGTCAGACAAAAACGGGCCGCACGCAAAGGGGGGCGCCGCTGCGCCGTGGCTGGGCTGGCGGGGCGGAGGCGGGGGTGCCCCTATCAGAGCTGCCATCTCCTCTCGCTGTAGTGTTTGCCGCACACACACACACACACACACACACACACACACACACACACACACACACACACACACACACATCCTCTCCCCCCCTCTCCCCTGTCCTCGATTGTTTTGCGTTCTTATTTCGCCAAGTCTGCCACCACCAGCCCGCTCCGCCGCCACGCCAGGCCAGGCCACGCCACGCGCCCCTGCTCGCTCCCCCCCCCCCTCCTAGGTTCCCCCGGCTGGGAGTTCTATGTCATTCCTCCACTATTCATTTCTGTTTCCGTTCCACCGCTGTCACTAATCGCTTCTAATCGATTCCCTGACACGCTGCCGCTCTCGCGCATGCTATGTGCCGCGCGGACGCCGGAGCGCTATGAGACCTATGAGACTCGACTCTCCCCTCCCCCCCTCTCCCCCCTCCTCTCCATCCGGCACCCCCGCACGCCGTGTTCAAGGGTAGTCCCGTCACGTCACAGAGGGCGTGACACTCGTCACGAGTCCGAGTCGCCGCCGCCGCCACCGCCTTATCTACCCGCGTGACGGGGGTGACGGGGCACGGACAAAAAAGCTCATCAGGCCAGACAACAAAACTGAGCTTCAATATTATTATTTTTTAAGTAATCTAATCCGTTTGGGTGTCAGGCTGAAACCGCTAGACTCTGCACCCCTGATGACACAAGATGGTTCTTTCCTTTTGAACGCATCCAAAACTTTTAGGCGTGTATGAGCCGAGGTTTTCTCTCCGTGGACAAGACGGGGACTCTCTTGCCCAATCCGATGGGGCACACTGTAATTCCTAAAGGCAACTTTTTTAGAGGTTGCCTTTGTTGTTACTCCCCAGGCAGTGAGAAATCGTGAATGTTGCCCCTAGGGAGGCAACAACCGAAAGTGTCCGGGCTCAAGGCAACATTTGTTGCCTCTGCCGCAAAGTCTGCCTTGCCGCGGGGAAGAATGTTACCCTTGGCGTAAAGGCAACTTTTGTCGCCGTGCGGGCGGCTACCTTCTAATCCCCGCCTCTGCGGGACAAAAGTATCCTTTAGGTAGCGTTGCCAGCATAGGCGTTGAAAAAGTTTCCTTTTTGAAAGGCGACTCTTATCCCCGTGTATTCGATAAGTTTTGGTGCCCGCATAGGGGTTAAAAAAGTTTCCTTTTTGAAAGGCGACTATTGTCCTCGTGTATTCGACAAGTTTAGGTGCCGTGTTCAACTGACACTAAGCAACCTCACTGCTGTAGGCCTATTTATTCGTCTCCCCGGAGGGGGAGGGACGGAGGAAGAGGAGGGGGAGGGCAAGCGGCGTGCCCGGCGGTGTCGGGCCGGCGAGACAAAGGCTGGAATGTGTTTCGTTGTCCGGACTCGCCCCCGCATCGGGCTCAATGGCTCAGTTGGTTGCGAACGAGGCGAGGACGCTGAGTTGCCAGCGCCGGGTTCAGGTCCCGGCGCTGGCAGCGGTAGGCGTGTATCCTTCTATGTAGCAGCCAAAAAGTCATGATGTTAGCCTACAAGGGCGTTACCAACTTGGATGACCGTAGGAATCCGGATTAGCGAAGTGGCGATCGCCTCGATGCGAACACCGGGGCACACCTTCCCAAACAAATGATTTTTTAAATTTTTCTTTAAATATTGGCAGTTTGCTACTGGTTCTGTTGGTAGAACTATTCTCCCAAGATCCACATCTCTGCGGAGAAAGGTAGTCGCCGTGCGCGCAAGGGGATCATTC